ATGGGAGGGAAGGGAAAGTAATTCACTGGCTACAGAGTAGACACATGGTAACTCAGTTGATGGGGAGATCAATAAACAAGAAGGGGGAGGATAACATACAAGAAGAGGGACGTTGGCAGAAGAATGATGAAGGTGAAGACACTGGGAAGTATGCAAGGGTTAAATAGGGGATAGAGGTAAATAGACAATATTGGAAAAACAGTGTTCTGTGGGTAGATACATGGGCAGAGACACAGAAAGAATAGGAGTATACTCACAAATATCTAAGAGCTCGAGAGAGGATATTTGTACATGGGTGTTTACCATTCTTGCAAACACAACTAAGACTGTGGTGGACCATACATACATAAGGCAAAATGATGAACACTTCCTAGCTATGTCTTAAGGCAATGAGTCACTAGGCCTGAGGGCTCAGGACCATAGTCTCAGGGGACACTCTGGTCAACTGGCATAACACAGTCCAGCACTCATCTGTCAGTTTGTCATACTTTGATGGCTGGCATGTTGCTGTGATGCTTGAAGCTATGCCACTGGTATTTTAAATACCAGCAAGGTCACCTAGGTTGACAGGTTTCAGCTGAGCTTCCAGACAAGGAAGAGGAGAAGCAGGGTACCTCTGAATGTTTACCCACTGAAAACCTTATGAATAGCAGTGGCACACTGTGAAATATTACCAGGATATTGAATAATGAAACACTATGAATTACATGTTAATACTGTCAGATATAGTGCTGAAAGATGAGTTCCTCAAGTTGGAAGGCACTCAAAATACGACTGGGAAGAATTGCCTACTCAAAGTAGAGTTGACTGCGATGATGTGAATAGAGTAAAATTTTAAGGGCCTTCATTTGCTGATGCGACATAACTTAAAATGAGGAGAAAATGTAAACATTCATTAATAATTGGAACATGGAATGTATGAAGTATGACTCTAGGAAAATTGGGAGTTGTCAAAAATGAAATGGACCACATCAAGATCAGTCTCCTATGCATTAGTGAAGTTCACAATCATATATTTACTATGTCGAGAATCACAGACTGAATAATGTGTCACATTCATCATCAAAATGAACATTTCAAGATCTATCTTAAAGTATAATACTGTGATAAGATGATATCCATATACCTACAGGGAAGACCAATTAACACCAATATTACTCAAAGTGATGCACCAACCACTAAAGTCAGTGATGATGAAATTGAAGAAGTCTACCAATTTCTTCAGTCTGAAATTGGGGAAACATGCAATCAAGATGTATTGATAATTACTGGTGTTTGTAATGCAAACGTTGGAAACCAAGAGGAAAGATCAGTCGTTGCAGAATATGGCCTTGGTGATAGAAATTACTCTGCAGATTGCATGATAGAATTTTGTAAAACCAATGACGTCTTCATTGCAAATATTTTTTTTAAACAACATGAAAGACGACAATACACATGTACCTTACCAGATGGAAAACACAGAAATCAAATTGACTACATCTGTGGAAAGAGATGGTGGAAAAGCTCAAAATCATCAGCCAAAACCAGGCCAGGCGCTCATATGCAAGTTCAGGATGAAGCTGAAGAAAATGAAAAAAAGTTCATGGAAGCCAGTATATGAACTTGAACATCTCACAAGCATCTTTAGAGATCATCTCACGAGCAGATTTGATGCACTGGACACTAATGACCGAAGACAAGAAGATTTGTGGGATAATATCAAGAACACCATACAGGAAGAAAGCAAAAGGTAATTAAGAAGACAACAAAGAAGGAAAAGACCAAAATGGATGTCAGAAGAGACTCAGAAACTTGTTCTCCAGTGTAGAGATATTAAAGCAAATGGAAGAAATGAGGTGGTAAAAGAGTTCAAAAGGCAGCTTGAGAAGACCAAGTCAAGTATAACAAAATGTGCAAACAACTGGAGTTAGTAATCAAAAGAGAATATGCTCAGCATTTCTTGCTGAAAGAATTGAAGAAAAAATTCAAACCTCAACTTGAAGGATTCTATTGGCAAAATATTGAATGATGCAGAAAGCATCAAAAGAAGATGGAAACAATGCACATTCACTGTACCAAAAAGAAATGGTCGATGTATAACCATTTCGAGAGATAACATGTAATCAAGATCCAATGATACTGAAGGAAGAAGTCCAAGATGCACTGAAGGCATTGGCAAGAACAAGCCTTCGGGAATTGATGAACTATAAATCGAAACCTTTCAACAAACTGACGTGGCACTGGAGGCACTCACTCATCTATGCCAAGAAATTTACCTGGTCAACCGATTGGAAGAGATCCATATTTGTGCCTATTCCAAAGAGGGGTGACTCAACAGAATGCAGAAGTCATTGGACAATATCATTAATATTGTTGTTGTTGTTAAGTGCCGTCGAGTCAGTTCCGACCCATAGCAACCCTATACAGGGTTTCTGAGGGTGTAAATCTTTACGGGAGTAGAAAGCCTCATCTTTCTCCCGCAGAGCGGCTGGTAGTTTCGAACCGCTGACCTTAAGGTTCACAGCCCAATTTGTAACCACTATGCTATCATTAATATTACATGCAAGTAAAATTTTGCTGATGATAATTAAAAATAGGCTGCAACAATATATTGACAGGGAACTACCAGTGTGGCTCAAGCTGGATTCATACAAGGATATGGATGGAAGAATATCATTGCTGACATCAGATGGATCTTAGCTGAAAGCAGAAATGACCAGAATGATGTTTACTTGTGTTTTATTGACTATGCAACAGCTTTCAACTATGTGGATCATTACACGCTATGGATAACACTGTGAAGAATGGGTATTCCAGAACTGTGCTCATGAGTAACTGTACACAGACCAATAAATAGTCATTCAAACAGATCAAGGCGACATTGAATGGTTCAAAATTATGAAAGGTCTGTACCAGGGTTGAATTCTTTCACCATACTAATAGAATCTGTATGCTAAGCAAATAATCTGAGAAGCTGGATTTTATGAAGAAGAATGTGCCATTAGGATTGGAGAAAGACTCACCGACAGTCGGCAATATGAAGATGATAAAACCTTGCTTGCTGAAAGTGAAGAGGACTTAAAATATTGATGAATGTCAAAGCCCACAGCCTTCAGTATGGGTTGCACTTCAATGTAAAGACAATAAAAGTCCTCACAACTTGACCAATAAATAACATCATGATAAATGGAGAAAAGATAATAGCTGTCAAAGGCTTCATTTCACTTGGATTTACAATCAATATTCATGGAAGCAGCAATCAAGAAATCAAAAGATGCATTGCATTAAGTAACTCTGCTGCACAAGACCTCTTTAAAGTGTTGAAGAGCAAAGAAATAGGTTTGAGGGCAAAGGTGCACCTGACCCAAACCATGGTACTTTCAATTGCCTCAAATGCATGTGAAAGTTGGACAATGAATAACAAAGATTGTAGAATAAACTGATGTTTTGGGGTTTTGGTGTTGGAGAATATTCAAACAACGGCCTGCCAGGAGAACAAACAAAACTGTGTTAGAAGAAGTAAAGTTAGAATATTCCTTGGTGGTGGTTCTGTGCCATGGAGTCGGTTCCAACTCATAGCAACCCTGTACAGGGTTTCTGAGGCTGTAAATCTTTATGGGCGCAGAAAGCCTCATCTTTCTCCCACAGAACAGCTGGTAGTTTCGAACTGCTGACCTTGAGGTTTGCAGCCCAATTCGTAACCACTACGCTACCAGAGTGAGACTTCGTCTCTCATACTTTGGACATATTATCAGAAGGAACCAGTCCCTGGAGAAGGACATCATGCTAGGTAAAGTGGGTGGTCAGCAAAAAAGTGGACGACCCCCAGTGAGATGGACTGGCACAGTGGCAGCAGCAATGGGCTCAAGCACAACAAGGACTGTAAGGACGGTGCAGGACAAGGCAGTGTTTTGTTCTGTTGCACATACGGTTGCTACGAGTCAGAACTGACTTGACAGTACCTAACAAGTATAACCCCCACAAAGACAATGTTCTACATCCTAGTTTGGTGAGTCACGTCTGGGATCTTAAAAGCTCATGAGCGGTCATCTAAGGTGCAGCTATTGGTCTCTCTATGTACCAAAAAAAAAAAGAAAAGTGATGAGAACCGAAGATGCTTGGAATTAATGAGAAAGTCCAAAGAACTAATGGAACATGTGAATATCAGTCTCCTTGGCTCTGATACCAGAACTAAATGCTGCCCAGCTACCATACCAACTGCTCTGAAATGGATCACATTAGAAGGTCCTGGATCAAGTGGGAGAAAATGTGGAACAAACTCAAAATTACAAAAAAAAAAAAAAAAAGACAGAGCTTACTGGTTAGAAAGAGACTGGAGGAATGCTCACCATGGAAATCATTCAATATCAAAAGACCAACATTTACCTAAGGACGATGCAGAGAAGGGATAGGATGGTGGGAGGAATGGAACTAAGAACCACAGAGAAGAAGTGGGATAATTGTTGTTTTACATGGAGGGGATTACAATCATTGAGATGAAACAACGTGTATGCTATGTTCAATATAAAACTGATGATCTTGTCTGTAAACCTTCACTCAGTTCACAATACAAAGTTTTGTTTGTTTGTTAAAAAGAAAATGCTATGGAGCACTGTTTCACCATGATGCACGTGGTCATCAAGAATTGGCATTAACTTGATGGCAACTGGCTTGGTTTCTTGACTATTATTATTTTAAGTGGGTTTAGTAATGTTAAGAAAAGTTTCTCTCAATTACTGGCATTTAATCTGAATTGTAATGATGATGAGATATTCCCTAAGATAATTAAACTTAAAAAAATCAATGATATGACTAAATAATGTTTACCCCATGTGTTATTATATAAGAACTTTGAGGAATCCATGTGAATGTGTGTGTGTGTCAGACACACAGAATACAGACACACAGAGACATACACATCTTCAGCAAAGTGTGTGAATATGTATGTGTGTATATGTGTGTGTATATGAGGAAAATACGCACACACAGTGTGTGCACAAATGCCATCTCCAGGTTACCTGTTCTCAGGTAGGGCATCATGTTTCAACTGGAAGTTCTCATTTATAGCAATTTCGTGAGCAAGAGTCATGTTTGATAAATTCCTTGCTGCAGCCATCACTTCGTCAAAGGTCACAGTCCTGGGAGGGCTCGTTGCTGAAAGAAAAACAATAGTCAACTCCTGTTATGGAGGAGAAGGCTTTGTCCCATGAAGCCTCCTGAGGTGGACAGTGTTTAGTTCTTCACTGTTCATCTCCTAGGTTTTACAAGTAAGGAGACTATGCATTCAAATAGATGGATTTTCCTGCTTAATAATGACTTCACAAGTTTTAAAAGTCCTTTGATAGCATGAGTGATATATATATATATATATCATTGTTGTTGTTGTTATATGCCGTGGAGTCGGTTCTGACTCATAGCAACCCTGTACAGGGTTTCTAAGGCTGTAAATCTTGACGGGAGCAGAAAACCTCATCTTTCTCCTGCAGAACAGCTGGTAGTTTCAAACTGCTGACCTTAAGGTTCACAGTCCAATTTGTAACAACTATGCTACCAGACCTCCTTATATATATGTGATAATAAATTATCCAATTTTTTGAAACAATCTTATGAATATGGGACTATTAGGCTCAGTGAGTCTACATAAATTAATGAGTACTATGAATAAAAAAGTATCTTATTTAGTATACGTCAATATGGCAACGACCAGAAACTTAAGGGGATACAAATCTGCAGCATAATGATGGTGGTGGTGTGCCATGGAGTTGGCTCCCACTCACAGCAGCCCTGTACAGGGTTTCTGAGGCTGTAAATCCTTAAATGGGCTGAAAGCCTCACCTCTCTCCTGTGGAACAGCTGGTAGTTTCAAACTGATGACCTTTAGGTTAGCAGCCCAACTTGTTAACACTACGCTATCACACCTCTTTGTAGCATAACTGTTGGTGTTGTTAAGTGCTGTCGAGTCGGTTCCAACCCATACTGACCCTGTATAGGATTTCCAATGAGTAGTTGGTGAACTTGAACCACCGACCTGGCAGTTCAAATTGACTTTGCAGTCCAGCACATTAATTCACAGCACCACACCGGGACTACTGTAGCACAGTAGGCCTATATTAGTAAGATTATCTCTGAAACCATTGAGAATTTATTATCAAATATGACTGATAGAATTAATTTTTAAAATGCTAATTTCTGAATGTGCAGGCAGTAAGATAAATAAAAGTGAAATGTAATAAATCGGGTAAACTGGATAATCTACTTTTCAGTAGGAAGTCACAAGTAAAGAATTCTAGTCATTTTTAAAGACTATTCCGTAAAAATTATAATAAATCATATCTTTTTGAAATCACTATTGGAACTTCATGGGGCTGCCAAAAGAACCAACAGATCTGTGTTGGAAGAAGTGCAGCCAGAGTGCTCCTTGGAGGCCAGGATGCCCAAACTTCGTCTCTCATACTTCGGACATATTGTCAGGAGGGACTAGTCACTGGAGAAGGATATTGTGTTTAGTAAGGTGAAGGGTCAGGGAAAAAGAGGAAGACCCCCAGCGAGATGGATTGGCCAAGTGGCAGCATCAATGGGCTCAAATGTAGCAGCAATTGTGAGGTTGGCCCAGGATCGGGCAGTGTTTCTTTCTGTTGTGCATAGGGTCGCTATAAGTTGGTGCTGACTTGATGGCACCCAACAACAACAACACTGGAACTTCTATTAATTAAAACTGTGACCTCAAGCAATAGTATTGATTAGCAATACTTTGCTACTTTAAAAAAAAAAATGCTAAAAGCAGCAGAATGATACACAGAATTAGCAGCCCCTCCTTTAGCATGCCAAGGTACTGTTGCCAGATGGATCAACTCCATCTAAAAATGGCACAGAAACTGGGGTGGTTGTTGCAAATTTTTTTTGCCAATGTTCTGCCCCCAAAAGATTCTTACAAATGTTACAAGCATTTGTGCCATTGGTCCCAAAATCCAATTATATCAACAACAATTCTCAGAAATGCTTTATGCACCTAGTTGTTCAGCAAGCATTATTTATAACACTGAAGAACTGGACATGAGTTACTGACCAGCGATAATGGGGGGTTAATGGAATTGATAACACTGAAGAACTGGACATGAGTTACTGACCAGTGATAATGGGGGGTTAACGGAATTGATGGTAGGGCCTCCTAATGAAGCAGTGTAATGTGACTGTATGGTCCCTAACTTTTGGTGACTCTGCACTGACCAACCCTGTGCCATCCCCATGACTGGATGCTGTCACTGGCTGGTATTGGAAGTAGATAACTGGGCCTTACTCTGTAGTCTGTCTTAGTCTGGAAGCTCTGCTGACACCAGTTCATCACTATGGCAACACATCAGCCCCCCCACCAATGACAGGCGGGGTGGCTGTGTGTCGAGGCCGGTTCACGAAGTAGGGAGATCTGGCGGTGACAGAGATAGAGAAAGAATACACACAAAGACACAACAAGAGACACATAGACACCCCGGAACTAGAGTGGATGCTTAACTGGCGTCAGACAGATCCTGCATTGTAAACATTTTGGCTATGCATGCCATTTGCACACCTTGCCAACTGCAATGCCTGTCTGTACTGCAAGCAGCAACGCATGCCTTGCCAACTGTAACGCATGTGGGCTTCGGTCTGCACCTCCGTTTTATTTCGGGGAGGAGCTTTACACAAAGGAAGGCAGGGTTTATTAAGATGGGGTACAGAAGTGAAATGTGATTAATCGTTCAAAACAGGATACAATGATTTACAGGAATCAAATTCTAAAACATACACCACAAATTATCTTGATAATCTAACATCCTTAATTTTCCAGACATTCAAGCAAATTTATATAGTACTTTTCAGGTTCGAATCCCAGGGCAGCAACTCAGTTTCTCCAGGCTAATTAACATACCGATAGCACCTAATCTCGAATGGGAAAAGGTGAAAAGGATTGGGAGGAGTCCCGCTGTGTCAGCTGCCTGACAGAGACTTGCAGGAGGAAGAAAGACTCCTAGGTCAAAGATCTGCACCTGGGGGTGATTTAAGACTGCTGACGCTATTGTTCTTTGGACAAAACCCCCGGAATTCACCAATCCACTCTGAGTTAATTCCTTGGGGGAAACTTGTTTTGGGAACTTTTTACAGCCTCGGCTTTAGGAGCAGTTTTTTGTTTTAATATTTGTCCATGGGTATCAAGGGCTCATGTATTAAGTTAATATCAAACATAACTGAATAATCTGATAAAGAAAAGCCATGTTTGCCAGGTGGCCAGAGTTTGTTCCTCAGAGAGATTTGTTCCTAGAACCTTAAGCACTGCCAATACAGTGGAGACATTAAGAGAGGCACATAAGAAACCATTTTCTCAGAAGCTACAATTACTGGAGTTCGAAGCATAGAATGAATTAATAGGACTAAAGCAAGGTATACAGAGCTAGCCCAACAGTGAGTTCGTAAAAGCCAATGAGCCCGGGACGTCCGGAGGTTACTTCCTTGAGCCCTCAGGGTCTCTGGCCAGCAAGTCTGAGTGCGGCCACGTGCTGGATTTTTGTCCATGACACCGGTCCTCAACATCCCAGTACCTGCGGTCTGCAACAGCTGTGAATGAAGTGCACTGGCTGGGAATTGATCTCCGATCTTGAAGGGAGAGTTCTAATGAACTGCCACTGCCCTCTGATGAAGCAGTAGCTAAGTGCTGTGAAGTCGGTTCCGACTCATTGCGAACCTGTATAGGGTTGCTAAGGAGTGGCTGGTGGGTAGTCATAAAACTGCTTTAAAACATCTATTATCATTAGTACATGTTTTAGTTATAGTAATAAAAGGAATCTAAATATATTACAGGCAATTTCCCAACTTCCAGGTTAGGAGCATTTGACTCACAGACAACATCCACTTTTGCTCTTTAATGTTATGTAAATTTGCCCTTACTTCGAAATGGCTGAAGCAACCCCTACTGGCAACAAAGTCTTCATGAAGATCACCTTCACCTGCTTCAAGTGCAGCTTTTAAATCACTGAAAAGCTTTCAACCTTTTCTTGCAGGCTAAATGCACCTGTGCCAACTCACCGACACATTCAACTTAAAGACACATTTCGGAAGGGATCTCCTGTGTAACTTGGGGCTTCCTGACATACACGGATGTGGGTGTATACACACAGATTAAAACACATCTATATATAGCAGCACGCAAGACAGGAAGAAGACATGGCAAAATATTGCCAGTTGTTGTGTTTGGATGATATTATAAGCAATCTTCTCTTTTCTCTATACTTAAAAGTACTTTACAAACCTTTTTAAATGAAATGTATAACTTGAAAATAGCTACACATGAACCTACTTTTATTTTAAGTGGGCACTTGAACATATTAAACATTAGTTTCTTCTTTCTGCATTTGCTTTGCCAGCACTAAGGTATCATACTTCTTATACCAAATGCCAAATGAAAAGCTAAAAAACAAACCCACTGTACACATTTTCTAGTTTCTACCTAGCCTCTCTCAGTCAAGACCACTCTTCACTGTCCCTCACCCTCTAGAGGAGTTACCCCTGTCTGGACACCTGACAGGGAAGGTTTGCACAACAGTGTTTGAAATCCACAGGAAACACTGTAGATTATTTCATTTCCTGCCTGACCCTTGAAGTGGGGCAAGTTTCACTCCAATGGAATTCAGAAATAATCCGAAGATACCATCTTGGCTTGATCTTTGGGTAAGGGAGCAAGATGTGATCTCAAGGAGTCATTGTGGTGCTGTAGAATCAGCATGGACTACTAACCACAAGGCCGCCAGTTCAAGCCCACCAGCTGTTCCTCGGAAACCATACACAGGGTCATGTGATTCTGAACCCACGTGACAGCACTTAACAACAACAGGAGAGAGGATGGGCGAGGTTGGGTGGCCTAGTTTACAGTCACACCAAAGCAGGCTAGAGGCCCAGCTCAAAATAACCACCAGCAGGTTGTAAGCGTCAGTGGCTATGTACCCCTAAGAGCATTACAGGGGGCAGCTGCAGTGACTCTGCAGCGGCGTTCAGAAGCAACTAACTAGAAGTAGGGGAGAAGAATCCTGCATGCATGTCTAGAAGCAGCCCACCAGCCCAGCCCCCACACCGGGTCTGCTTACAAGCAGGAGAACTGGACTTGCTGGAAGAGTCGCTGGTAAAGCTCTCCCTGGAGCATTCGTAGTCACTGAGTGAAGACATGCTTTCGGAAAACCTGGAAGAGTCTGAATCGCTTGGCTGGTCCTCACCCGCACACTGCTTCTCACCATTGAAGGGCATTTTGTTTCACCTGCACAGATGGATAGACCCCGTGGTGTGAACAGTCTTTGGAACATCCACAGTGATGGGGACTGTACTGGAAAGGCCTCCAAGAAATGACCTCCTCCTTCCCCAGGCTGGCTCCAGGCCTGTAAGCCTGCCTTCCAGAAAAGAGAGTCTGTAAGCAGAGGTGTGAACAGACTTGGGACATACCCAGTGTGAATGTGGAGGGGCAGCTCTCCCCTCCACACACACACACACCCCCACACACACTCTCTCTGCCTCCTGTGCTGCTAACACTTGTGAGGGAAACAGTAAGGGTCAGACTGTCTCTCTCTCTCTCTCTCTCTCTCT